TTTTCAATAAATAAATGCTGCCCTCCATGGTTTTACCGTGTGAATTTTCTATAACATAAGATCCAATGGAAACTCAGATCAGAATTAATCAGAGAAGCTCAGTAAACATTATACACAGTGATCCATCTCTTGGGAAACCATGATGTACTTAACACTTCCAATCCTTCAAAAAATTGTTTAAAATAATGAATTTCTTTTGTTTATCTTAACCTGTGACAAATGGGTTTTACCCTGAAATCTGTAGACCTTTCATTCAACAGATACAAATGTCTGAAGCACAGGGGGAAGTCACAGTGTAAACCAGATGGAAGGAGGGAGGCATGTGGTGGGCCAAGAGAGACTTTATGAGCCAGTTAAAATATTTATAAAATTATTGGTTTATTTTAAAACTTTCTCACATTTCTTTTTTAAAAAACATCAATTAAGTATTTTTTGTTTCTGAATTATGTAATTCATCAAAGTTGCTTATATTTATACATGATCCTTCATCTGAACCTGTACAATATCATTTTGAGACTAACATGCATATATTTGGAGGTAGCTTATGGGGATTTCTTTAATGTATAGAAGTTGCTTTCTTTGATGTGAGATAGTTAACTCCAAAGGCCATTGCTCAGCAATCATTGTAATTTCAGATTTATCTTTTCTCAAATGTTTGAGATTTACTCTTACTACTTTTAATAGTAATTAAAAAAATGTGTTAATGTTAGAAAAATGCAACCATATATCTCATTTAGTCTAGCACACACACATATATATGTATATAGCACACTTATGTGTATATATATATATATATATAAATATACACAATTAGCTAATTCTTTTATGCTCCTAATTTAAGTGAAATATATATTTACAGAATTTTATCTTTCAAAGTTTGGGGAAAAATTTACAATTTGGAAGCTTTAAGGATCCTAAAAGGGACCAAATAGCCTAGGTATTTGCTTTTGACCTTTAATTTGTGGAACATGGGAGTGTTTTAAAACTAAGATTTGTTGAGAAGCTAGCTTTGTTAATATTGCTGTGTTTTATGTGTAAGTGTGAAATATATATTTACAGAATTTTATCTTTCAAAGTTTGGGGAAAAATTTACAATTTGGAAGCTTTAAGGATCCTAAAAGGGACCAAATAGCCTAGGTATTTGCTTTTGACCTTTAATTTGTGGAACATGGGAGTGTTTTAAAACTAAGATTTGTTGAGAAGCTAGCTTTGTTAATATTGCTGTGTTTTATGTGTAAGTATTGAATTGTCAATGAAATATGAGACATTTAACCCAGTGACATTTTAAATGAATCTCATCACAGGGAAAGCCTGTGGGAACACCAGATGCTGGCGCTTATTTCCGTGTACTAGCCGAGCATGGAGTGTCTGCCTTGTTTACAGCACCGACTGCAATTAGAGCAATCCGTCAACAGGACCCTGGGGCAGCCTTGGGGAAGCAATACTCTCTGACAAGGTGAAGTAGGGATGCACAGGGCAAATTACATTAAAAATTGCAATCAAAATAGGTAACACCACTATTTTGGGGTTCTGTAATACTTCTATAGAAAGAGCCAAAATATTCAAACTGTTATGAGGAATGGTTCTTAATACATATTGAATATAATTGAAGTGGTTGGAATATGAACTTCACTGTACATGTTTAAAGGTTTATTATTTTCATATGTGTGGACAGGACAGAAGAGGGAGTAAGCCTCATAGAGCTGAAGCCACCTTATTTGGGTGTTAGGAACTGAACTCGAGACTTCTGGAAGAGCAGACAGTATTCTTAAGCACCGAGCCATCTCTCCCTTGTACATATTTTTAATATACTGTTACACTGTTTACTTTGGTTCAACTCCTACCAAAACATGTCTCTTTTTGATGACCCTGCTTATATTTTCTTTAGAAGATAAAATGATGATTATAAATTCAGATGCCTGCTATCTCAGCATCCAGCTGTTTTGTGGAAATATAAATGGATTCATAGCTTAAATGGAGAGATGTATCATTTGAATTCATGTGTACAGAGGTAATGAGAAAATTATTGTCCAAACTACATTTGTTCAAAGAGTGAAAAAAATCAAAGAGTGAAAAAAATTATTTTAATTTTGTTTTATAATAATCTGCTGTGACTAGCTAGGTATTTTTGTGCTAGATTTTCGATATTATTCTTTTCTTAGTTTAATAGTATGTATATTCGATGGTAATTATAGAAATTTATATACTGAAGGTATTTCCAAAATTAGTTCTCATTGACCTTTTGATGTAGGTCATGGTTTTCATAAACTATGTGATTTTGCATTTTCTTCAAGTCAAAATGTGAGAAGAAGACAGTTTGAATATTTTAAGTTTAAATGCCACAGGGTTTGAATTTTATGTTGCTATGGACAAAAAGAATCAAAATATACACTGTACATTTAGCAGCAGATAGAAACACAAAGCTTTCAGTTTGGGCAGGATCATTAACATTATTTATCTGTTTCTAAATGTATTTATGCCATAAAATAATAGATCCTGATTTACTTTAAATGACATTGATAATATAAATGATGCACAGTTACCTTTTAAAAGGATGTGCTCCATAGTTACACGTTAATATGGAGGAATGAGAAAAAGCCGTACATTGGTGTCCCTGCCCTAGGATTCTAGGCTATTGGCATGGACTACCATGCCAGGGCTCATAGTCAACACTGTGGTTCTCATCACCCAGAATCTGAGCTACCACTGTGCCCTGTCAGTGTTTTTTTGTTGTTGTTGTTGTTTTTTTTTTTTTTTCCATGAACTGTATCTTGGCCACACTCCCCACAGCACAGGCTCTGGGGCAATCTTTCTTTCTCCCAAGTGTCACACCAGGGCTGTGCTCTGCAACCTCCCTTGCTATCACTTCCTATCATTGTCCCAACCACAGCTTTACCCCACCTTCCTGGATCATTATTGCTGTGATGTGCCTAACACTCATGCACACATCAGTTTAGTGTGTGAGTTGTATTCAGTAGTGTAAGGAGGGTTAACTTGTGCCTCGTCTGAAGTGCTAGTTTCCCAAGATTCTGATTCCAGGAATTTGGCTGCACAGATCTTTGGGTGTGTGGATCCTAGTGCTTTTATGTCAGCCATGTCAGACTCAACAACAAGAGGCCCCTCAATCTGTTTCCCTGATAGCTAACATCATTGCCACCAAATCCCACAGCTTAAATCACTGAAGCACACATAGTTGTTGCTAACATTCATCAGCACTGAATAAATTCACATGAGGGCTATACCACTGTGCCATGTGAAAAGAAACCCACAATATTCTGCCCAAGCAGTATGGTCAGGCTGGTCAAGAGGAGGGTGTCCTTCTACTGAAGCTACTCTATGATGTTTGGGTAAACTGACACATTCTCAAAAGCACAGATTTCAGTGAAGAAACCCAAAGAAATATGAATAGCAGACATAGGACACAACAAACAGTATATGATGATCCTCCAGTAAGTGCCCACAAAGAAACAGAAATTTGTGAATTGTCTTAAATGAAATTTTAAAAATGATGCTCTTATAGAAACTCACCAAAATAGAAGAGAACACAAAGGCAATTCAATGAATTAGGAAACAGTTCATGATCTCATAAATGTAATGAGAAGTTAGATCTCATAGCAGAGGAACAATTCTTAAAGCTGAAGAATTAAAGAAAATATACAATTAAGAGTTTCAACAGTAAAGGCTGGCTGTGGTGGCACATGCATTAATCCCAGCACTCAGGAGGCAGAGGCAGGTGGATCTCTGTGAGTCCGAGGCCAGCCTGGTCTACATAGTGAGTTCCAGGCCTGCTGGGGCTACAAGGAGACCTGTCTCAAAAAGACCAACCCCCCCCCAAACAAAACAAAACAAAACAAGAGTTTCAACAGTAGACCAAATAAAGCAGAGAACATGAACTTGAAGGTAAATCATATGAAATGACTTAGAGGCAGAAGATACATAAGGATGATAAACAACTAGGGTAGCATATGGATACTGAGGACACCATTAAGAAGACAAATACATTATGAGATTAATTATGTGCAAGAAAAAGAAAGGGGACTGAGTGTTTAATAATGGAAAAATTGCAAGAAAACTCCAACGATTAAGAGAGGATTAGAGAATTCCGATCTATGACATGTGCAGATATATCAGATGTATTTCACAATTACTATGTACTTTACCTCACATTTTTATCATTTTGTGATCTCTGCAGTCATTGTATTCAAAATACATCTTTAACATCTGATCCTATGCTGCACATTGTAAATCTTTTATGTATTACTGAGTGTAATTTTCCATCCTTTTCTTGAATCTTTTCCTCCCCAAATCAGTCCACGTCCTTGTAAAAAATTTACACTGTGCCCTCGTGCAAGATCAGCAGTTGAATGATTTTTTTTCCAAATGCTGTCCATGTCGTCTTTATGTGCATGTGTGCATACCATACATACACACTGATATTTAACATATAGAAGAGAACATCTAGGAAGCAGAGGGATCTCATAGTTTTTAAAAGTTGTGCACTAATTACAAACCTATTTATGCTGTATTGTTACTCTAGTATTCATGTTTACTAGAACATTACACTTTAGCCAGTTTTAAACATGTGTCATTTTGATTGTCATAACACAACATTGTATTATACCCTCAATTTTTTATCAGGTTTTTCATAAAACTTGTAATTGGCCATTTGAGAACCTTCTCCTGTGATGTGTTCATTGAAATATTTCCAAACTTTTTCTCTCCTTGATTTATAGTTTTTCATTTTGAACCCTAGTCTCTAGGGAACTTATGAAAGAATGATTTTACTTAAATAGGTGTTTTGAAATATTTATAAGTAAAACAACCAGGTTTGTAGTTTACATTGTGAAAAAGTTTTAAACTATGAATTTAATATTATTGTGATTCAGATTACTTTGTAAATCTATGGCTTCTTGCATTGTTGTTTCAGTTCGTTTTAGATAGTTTATTTGTCATTGTCTGTTTAGTCACTGCTTCTACCTAATCATCCCTGCTTAAACAATAACACATTAATGACATGTACAATAGATCTTTTATATAACCTATATCCCATATTCTGTATGTTAAGTGTTTCTTCTTTCCAATGACAGTTTGATGATTCGGAGTTTCAAATCCTCTTTTCTGTGTACCTTTTATTGGGCTTGCAAGTTTTGTGTTTTGCATTTTTTCATTTTGAGGGTTTCATTTTTATTGCAATTTTAAGTTCACTGGTAATGGTATACATACATGAAGATACTCATCAAAGGCTACTTTTTTCTCTGCATCTGATAACCAAAATGATGACTTGTTTGTGCATTTTTCCTGTGTCCTTTTTCTCTTGTGTGTTTGGTTCTATGTTATTATTTCCTTTGTCTTTAAAAAAAAAAATCAGTTTCTTTGAGAATCAGATTTAGGTAAGCCCCATAGAGAAATACTTATTTGGGCAGGCGACTGTCATAACAAAAACCATTTCTATCCAGCTAGAGATTTAGTTGTTTGAAAGCTAGACTTCAGTTTTGAAGAGGAATGGTTACTTTAGCTTACCTTTATGTTAGGGAATCACAGGGCTCCAGCTGGACATCTACATGATATGCAGCACCTTTTACCACTGTCAGTTTTGAAGAAAGTTTTCTTTTCTCAAGAAATTATGATGTTTGGAAATAGTATGCAAATTCTGATCCTGTCATCTACACACTTTTCTTTCTGGTGCTGAGCTTTTTAAACTACCAGTTATTTGCCAATTGGCAAAGTTTTCAGTAACGAAAATCACGAAGTCCCTGACTGGTTTATTATTTATACTTTTTTTTTTCTTTACAGTTCTAATGCCTCCAGTGTTCACTGCCTTTTAGTACACAGATAACTTCAATTTTTTTTTTAATGAGCTGATTTTCTGGTGTATTTAAGAGGAATTGTTAGGCAGAATACCTATTGGTTGTCTTTGCATGCCAAAAGAGATTTCTAAGCTGAAGCAAGTGAAAAAATAGAATTAAGGAAAGATGGAGATGAACGCAGAATATGGTGATTAAAAAAATAATGGCAGCCTGCCATATCAAATGGAAGTTGATGAGCCTCTACTAAAGTGATCTATTTTTTAACATCTGTTGGTACAGGTGAAGAATAATTTTTGCATATTTGGTAGTTGATAGACCTTGAAAGAAATAATCGCTTTTGTCTTCTACCCTCTATTATGTGAAAAGCGTCACCAGAATTTTCTTAATGATTTATCCATTTCCTGGCAACTACTTGCTTTTTATCACAAACTAAAATTAATTTGACAACAATTCTTTTCTTCCATTGTGTTTCTAGGGCCACTCATGCTAGGTAAACTCTCTACCATGAGCTGTAAATGCAGGCCCCAAACACATCTGATTTTTATGTGCTTTTTGTTTATGTGTTTTTATGCTTAATTTTTAGCTCAGTTTGACTCTTAAATGGTTTTCAGTTTTATACCAAATCATGGAAAAGTGCATAGGTTTTATG